GTTCCTTTGCATAATTGCTCTTAGGGCCCGGCTGGGCCTACATCTCCCTGAGTCATCACCCATCCTGTTCCCTGGTTTCCCTGAACGGCCTGGCCCTTTCCAACATCTTCTTCGGCATCCCCCAGCCACGGAGGCCTCCCTGCAGCTGCTCAGATGCAACCCTCCCCTCCCTGGCCTTGACCCGAGTGTCCTCCTCCCCTCCCTACCTCTGGGATCAGATTCTTCCCTCAGAACCCAGAGCAGCCAGTGCACCGCTCAGACTGGGAATCTCCTCCGACTCCACGGCCACGTGGAGACTGTCCCTCTCCGGAGCACTGTGATCACGGTGCGTTTGCCGATTAACACTTACTCGCGTGAAGCCGTCTTCGGCGCATGTCTGCAGCATGGTAAGAATGGTAAGAATGATGTTCCCCTTTTTCTTACCCTTGAATCCTCAGCAACTGGAACACACTTGGCACGCAATGACTATTTGTTGAAGAAATGAATTATCTAGAAAATTGGGTGTAATATAATTTTGCCAATCTTTCAAAAACTGTTAAATGCCCAGTTCATTTTGTTACTGGCGGGGAAAGGTCCCCACGTGATCCTCATGGGAATGGGCTTCTTGAGATAGTCTGAGAAAGGAATTTTCTGAGACTCATACAGGAGGAAGAGATGGTGTAGAAAGTTACATTTCTGTGGAATCAACCCCCCGAGTTTCCAAGGTCCCACCTCCCTTTGTCCTTCCGAGGAAGAAGTGCAGCTGGGGCTTCAACAGAGCCAAGATCAAAGCCAGCGTCCAGAGTCGTTGCCATGTTTGCACGCTCCAGTCCGGCATCAGACTAGCTTAGTTTGTGTTCCCAGTTGCAGCCCGTCAGTCCCTTGCATGTGGGGTCCACAGGACACATGGCCATAGAGGGAACACAGGCACATGCACGGAAGCAAGAACAAGAGAGCCCCATGAGCTAAGAGCAGGGCGAGGACTCCTTTGTTTGGGGGATTTGGAATCCTCACGTTGTCAAGGGCTGGCATTGCCTCATCTCTTCTCACCAGCGATTCCTGTTTCCAGGTTCGATGGACAAGCACCTTCCCCGGGTCACCCCCCCTTCACTGTGCATGCGTCCATCCTCCCCTTTGTGCAGCCCCTTCCCCCAGGCATCCGAAAGGGATGGGCCGGTGGTTCCCGGGGAGTGCAAAGTTGCTGCTCCCTGGTGAAGCTGCCCAAGTGACACACCTATAATGTCTGGTCTTCCCTTCGCTCCTTTCCTAGTATCAATAACTAGCTAACTACAACCGTATCAATCTTACATTTAGGTTTCCTGGTTTTTGCTATTATAATATACTATAATAAATAACTTTAAACATTAAACTATTTTTTTCTTTAAATCATTCAATCATTTATTAAAAATAAAGACTCTTGGGCCCTGGCTGGGTAGTTCAGTTGGTTGGAGTGTCATCCCGATATGCCAAGGTTACAGGTTTGATCCCCAGTCAGGGCACATACAAGAATCAACCAGACAGCCCTGGCCAGTTTGGCTCAGCAGTTAAAGCATCAGCCCGTGGACCAGAGAGTCCCAGGTTTGGTTCCCGCTAAGAACACGTACCACAGTTGCAGTTTGTCCCCATTCCCGGTTGGGGTTGTGTGGGTGACAACCACTCAATGTGTCTCTCTCACATCAATGTTTCTCTCTCTCTTCCTTCCTCTCTCCCTCCTGCTCCATCTGAAGATAAATGCAAAAATGTCCTCAGGTGAGGATAAAAAAAAAATCAACCAGACAATGCATAAATAAGTGGAACAGCAAATCAATGTTTCTCTTTCTCTCTCCAATTAAAAAAAAATAAAGTTCATAAATAAATAAAGACTCTTGGTATACACAGCCATTGCCAAAATGCTTTTTTCTTTTGCATTTATCTTCAGATAGAGCAGGAGGGAGAGAGGAAGAGAGGAAGAGAAACATCGACATGAGAGAGACACATCAACCAGTTGCCACCCATACGACCCCAACTGGGGACGGGGACAAACTACAATCGAGGTACATGCCCTTAGCAGGAACTGAACCCAGGTCTCTCTGGTGTGTGGGCCGATGCTCTAATCGCTGAGCCAAACCAGCCAGGGCTTGATTAACTTCTTCACGTGGCTTCAAGGTAGGTTCTGGTGTACTGCCATTCAAGCCCAAAGGGTTCCCTTTCGTATTTCTTGTAGGGCAGGTCTGCTAGTGATAAAGTCTCTTATTTTTGTTTATCTGTCAATGTCTTGACTTCTCCTTTGTTTTTGGAGGAGAATTTAGCTGTAGAATCTTTGGTTGAAAGTCTTTTCTTTCAGCACTGGGAAGACATCAGCTCACTGTCTTCTGGCCTCCATGTTTTCTGATGAGAATTCAAGTTCATTTTATTATGGTTCAGTAGTTTCCCTCAATAGATGATTTTCAGTTTGTTGCGAAGCTTTGGTTAAATATTAGCATCCTAAAATTCATTGAATTTTTGTTGTTTCATTCATATTTTTGTTGTTTTAGAGGGAGAGTGAGCTCACTAAAGTCCTTACCATGTCATTTTGGAAGTTGATCTCTTCATAGTTTTAATTACTTTAGATAATATGTTTCAATATCTTGTAAAGCAATTTTCCTTCAATAATTATTTTCCTAGAATTTTGTAACTATTCTTTCCTATGTGGCTCATTTTTCAGGTGAACGTTAGAATCATTTGCTCATGCTCCAGTGAAAACATGCACTGGTCATTTAGAATGCTGTTCTATTTTTTTTTTTTTTATCCTCACCCGAGGACATTTTTCCATTTTTTGTTCAGATAGAGTGAGAGGGAGAGAGGAAGAGAGAGAGAGAAACATCGATGTGAAAGGGACACACTGAGTGGCTGCCACCCGCACGACCAACCAGGGCCGGGGACAAACTGCAACCGAGGTACGCGCCCTTAGCGGAAACCGAACCCGGGTCTCTCTGGACCGCAGGCTGATGCTCTAACCGCTGAGCCAAACTGGCCAGGGCTAGAATGCTGTTCTAAATATAGCTCACCTTCTTGGAATATTCAAGCTTCCTGCTATACTCTTCGACTTTAATACTGCTCAGTGAATTTAATGCATTTTTTCATGTGGAGTCTACTGTATTTTTCCTAGGCATTTAAATGTTTTTGTTGTGACTGTGAACTGTGATTACTATGCTATGTTATTTCTTTTTTTAAACATAAAGCAAACATTTCCAGGGGGGAATAAACACTACTTATTTATGTAGCTAAGGTTATGGAAGTCAGGAGGGCTCCTTCCGCAACTGAGAGGTTTATTTTGTTTTCTTTGAAGCAGCAGAGTTATCTTTGTCCAAGTTAAATCTTCAGCAGAAACCTGTACATCACAACGAAAGCTCAGGAGCACAGCTGCCTGGCTGAAACGGGTTGCGGGCTGGTGCAAAGCCCCGCAGCCTCTGCCTCCCGCCTCACTCTTCACCCAGTCCTGAGGTCTTCTCTTTTAGAGAACGGGCAAAGACTTATTTTTCTTTGTTTTTTGTTTTGTTTTGTTTAAACTGATTTTAGAGAGCGAGGGAGAGATAGAAACACCAAGGTGAGAGAGATACATCAAGCAGTCGCCTCCTGCATGCCCCTCACTGAGGATCGAGCCCACAACCTGGGCATGTGCCCTGACCAGGAATCGAACCGGGACCTCTCGGACCATGGGACGATGCTCAACCACTGAGCCACACTGGCCAGGGTCCCTGAGTTACTTTCCAACAACTGGCTGCTTGGTTATCTGTCACAAATAGGAACTCATCTGTGGGCTCCTTAGTGTAACCTCTTGCTTTTTTAAAAACATTTCATTCTACTTCAAGGTGTTTTTTCATCTCTATTCAGTGACCACTAGCCACCAGGGTTTCAGCGAGATCCTGCCTCACTGACACAGACCACTCCCAGCTCGTCTCTCCTAAGTCCACGGAACAGGAAACTGAACATAGGCTTGAAGATGTGGTTGGTTCAAGAAAGAACATATTATTTCTCTGATGTGTTGTCACTATCCCATCCTGTGTCACAACAGAGAGACGTGTTCTGGCTCTATGACTTAGAAATACAGTGCCCAGTTTTCATTAGCTAAATGAGTAGGTAGATTATATCATGTACCAACTGAACTCCAGCAGAGAACAGAGGGCATTCGCGAAATAGCCGACAGAGGAAGAGGAGGTAGGTCTCACGGCTTAGACCACCACAGGACAAGAAGCAACGTTAAAACAAACACTCAAAAGAAAATGTGTGTTCTAAACATCTACAAAAAATGTTTTATTAAGTTTTCAGGATATAAAGGAATTCAAAAAATAACCATGATACTTTCAAAAACTTTTAAAAACTATTTAGTTAGTGATGTTCACAAGAGAAAGACTTGGACCTTAGAGAACAGACGAAGTTAAGCACCTGGGCCACAAGAGTGAGAGACGGACGGGCCTGCTACGTACACACTCATAAGGGGCTTACACGCTAACTTTTTAAACAAAAAGCAAAGCGCGCTCGTTGCTTCAAAGTGGGCTTGTGAGACTGATTACCGAAGGGCATCACCGGCAACTCCTCTTACAGGAAAAAGCTTTCTACCTCACCCAGCCCACATGTTACCTTGCATGCAATTTGTATGGGAACGGGATGAGATCAAGTCCAGTTCTAAAGCCAATTCAATTTCTAAAGCGTTGGCACTAAGCAAACATTTGAAGTAACTATGTAGTATTTTAAAGTAACAGAATTATGACAACTTAAATTACTTTCAGAGATAAGAAGGGGGTGGAGATCTTAGAGGCAGGGATGCACTTACCTCAGCACAGTACAACAGCCCCCAAAGGGAAGAGGAAGATGCTCATTCTCTACAACATGAAGAGCATTATAGGGAGTCTTACTTATAATTCAAAACTGTCAGTTAAATTCTAATAATGACTGTGTATACCTCCCCCTACCTCCCCCCCCCCCTCCCCCAATGATTTTCTTCTCAGAAGAAAAATCGGAAAGGGACTGAGTTCTGGACAGCAAGGTTGAGGCCGTGGAACTCCAAGTGTGGATGCTTCCCCCGCAGCCCCAGGATGTGACTCGCATCCCCACGCTCTGCCTTCCCATCTCCTGTGTATGGAATATAATTCATGTCATTTGTCCTTGAAAAAAATCACAGTGGAGTCTGAGGGCCATCAGTTTTTGTCCTTCAAGTATCCTAAATTCAGATCATCTCAACATCCAGAAATAGCCTTTGATTTGTTCTTTCTCTGATATCTTGTGTCCTTGGGATCAAAGCCTCTCTCACTGGCCCCAAACAATGCCCAGTGCGGAGTTTTGGCCATGTAATCCTCTGCGCTGAAAGTCTTTGATCCGCCACTGTCTTCATATTCCTGGACAAGTTCCTGGAAGCGGTTATAATCAATCCATGTCCACCATTCTCTACCAATCTTAAACTAGAGAGAAAAAATAATAAGGTCAGAAGTCAAAACATCCATAAAAAAATCAAATAAATACCAAAAAAATTAAAAATGACCTGATCTTTTGGCCCTATTGTGGTAAAGACATTTTTTTCACGCTCCAAATATGGAGTCAAAGGAGAGTTTCCTTTTCCTTAGGACTCCGGCCAAACTGAACCTGGAAGACCAAACTGCTGAATAAGGAATGCATTCCAGAATTGAAAGTTAAGTTTATCTTGAACAATATCAATGAAAGAGACTTAATTAAGTTTTCTGGCATAATCATGTGTTAATAGCCAAGCTAATTCTAATTTCTCTTGTCACTATTTTTTCTTTTATTAAAATTTCACTTTCAATTAGAGTTTACATTCAATATTATTTTGAATTAGGTTCAGGTGTACAAGCATATATACTTTACAAAGTGATCCCCCTGATAGTTCAAGCACCCACGTGGCACCATGTAGTGATTACAGTATCACTGGCTACTTCCCCTACAGCGTCACTTACCTCCCCGTGACTCCTCTGTAACAACCAATCTGTACTTCACCTTGTTCACTCAGCACCCACTCCTCTAACCTCTGGCAACCAGCAGGCTGTTCTCTGTATCTGTGAGTCGGTTTCTGTTTTGTTTATTCATTTACTTTGTTGTTCTTTTTAGATTCCACATATAAGTGAAATCGTATGGCATTTGTCTTTCTCTGTCTGACATATTTCATTTAGCATAATACCATGTAGGTCTACCCAAGCTGTTGCAAATGGTAACATTTCATTCTTTTTTATGGTTGAGTAATATTCCACTGTATATTTGCACTATTACATTTATGTCCACTCTTCTACTAATGGACACTTAAGGTGCTTCCTTATCTTGGCTGTTGTAAATAATGCTGCAATAAACATAGGGGTGTATATATCCTTTTGAATTAGTGTTTTGGGATTCTTTGGATATATACCCAGAAGTGGAATTGCTGGGCCATGGGGCAGTTCCATTTTTAATTCTTTGAGGTTATCTCCACAGTGGCTACACCAATCTACATTTCCACCAACAGTGCATAAGGGTTCCCTTCTCTCCACACCCTTACTTGCTGTTTGTTGGTTTATTAATGACTGCCATTTTAACAGATGTGAAGTGATATCTCATTGTGGTTTTAATTTACATTTTTCTAATGATAGTGATGTTGAGCATCTTTTCATATGTCTATTGGTCATACATATTTTTTTTATGCAATCTCAATGGGATTATTTTCTTAGTTTCTCTTTCTGATAGTTAACTACTGGTGTATAAAAATGCAACCTCGAGCCCTGGTTGGTTTGGTTCAGTGGTTAGAGAGTCAGCCCGTGCACCAGAGGGTCTCAGTTCGATTCCCAGTCAAGGGCACGTACCTGGGGTGCAGGTTCCATCCCCAGTACCAATCGGGGTGTGTGGAGAGACAACCAATCATTGTCTCTCACATCATTTCTTTCTTTCTCTGTCTCTCTCTCTCCCCGCCAAGGCCCCCTTCCTTCCACTCTCTCTAAAAAACAGATCAATAGAAAAAATATCCTCAAGTGAGGATTAAAAACAAAAAAAATGCAGCCTCGATTTCTGAATATTTATTTTGTATCCTGCTACTTTAGTGAATTCATTTATCAGTTCTAGTAGTTTTTTGATGTACTCTCTTAAGGTTCTCTCTCTATATTATCTTGTCGTCTGCAAATGGCATTTTTACTTTCCGATCAGGATGCCTTTCATTTTTTCCTTCTTCGTCTAACTGCGGTGGCTAGAACTTCCAGTGCTACATTGAATAAGAATGGGGAAAGTGGACACCACTGTCTTGTTCCTGGTCTTGAGAAAAACACTTTTAGTTTTCCCCTGCTGAGTATGTTGGCTGTGGGTCTGTCATATATGGTCTTTATTACGTTGAGGTATGTTCCCTCTGGTCCTACTTTGCTGAGCATTTTTATCATGAATAGAAGCTGAATTTTGTAAAATGCTTTTTCTGTAACTACTGATATGATATGATTTTTATCCTTTATTTTGTTTATGTGGTATATCACATTAATTGATTTGCAGATATTGAACCTTGCATTCTCAGAATAAATCCCACTTGATTATAGTGTATGATCTTTTAAATATGTTGCTGAATTTGGTTTAGGATTTTTGCATATATGTTCATCAGGAATATTGGCCTATAATTTTCTTTGTAATGTCTTTATCTGATTTTGAAATCAAGGTAATGCTGGCCTTGTAAAATTAGTTGAATATCTGATAAAACTGCCCAGTGAAGTCATCCAGTCAAGGACTTGTGTTTGTTAAAAATTTTGTTTTGATTTTGTTGTTTTTTTTATTACTGCTTCAATTTCATTGGTTGTAATCAGTGCTCAAATTTTGTTTCTTGTTTTAATCTTGAAAGATTATATGTTTCTAGAAATGTATCCATTTCTTCCAAATTGTTCAATGTTGGCATATAGTTGTTCATAGTGTTTTTTATACTCCTTTGTATTTCTGTAGTGTCACTTGTCACCTATCCTCTTTCATTTCTGATTTTATTTGGATCTTCTTTTTTTCTTGATAAGTATGGTTAAAGTTTATCAATCTTATCTATCTTTTGAATTTTAAACTCTATTTCATTTATTTGCCCTCTAATCATTATTATTTCCTTTATGCTACTCATTTTGGGCTTAGTTTTTTGTTCTTTTTCTAGTTCCTTTAGGTGTAAGATTAGATTCTTTATTTGAAATTTTTCTTGTTTCTTAAGGTAGGTCTGTGTTGTTATGAATTTCCCTCTTAAAACTGCTTTTGCTGTGTCCCATAGATTTAGGGGTTGTTGTGTTTTCTTTGTCATTTGTCTCAAGATATTTTTATTTCTTCCTTGATCTGTTAACCCGTACATTGTTTAGTCTCCATATGTTTGTGTGTTTTTCAGTTTTTTTCTTACAATAAATTTCTAATTTCATGCCACTGTAGTCAAAGAAGATGCATGGTATCATTTCAATTTTCTTAAATTTATTAAGACTTGTTTTGTGTCCTAACACGTGGTCTATTCTGAAAAATGTTCTATGTGCACTTGAGAAGAATGTATATTCCACTGCTTTGGGGTAAAATGCTCTAAAATATCAATTAAGTCCATCTGATCTAATGTGTTATTTAAAGCTGATGTTTCCTTGTTAATTTTCTTTCTGGAAGGTCTATCCATTGGTGCCAATGAGTTGTTAAATTCCCTACTATGATTGTATTACTACTCATCTCTCCTTTATGTCCATCAAGAATTGCTTTATATATTTAGGTGATCCTATGTTTAGGTGTATACATGTTTATAAGGGTTATATCATCTTGTTGGATTATCCACTTTATTATTATGTAATGTCCTTGTTTGTTATTATAGCCTATGTTTTAAAGTCTATTTTTTCTGAAATAAGTATTGCTACCCAGCTTTTTGTTGTTGTTGTTTCCATTTGCATGAAATATCTTTTTCCATTCCTTTATTTTCAGTGTGTATGTGTCTTCTGACCCAAAGTGGGTCTCTTGTAGACAACATATACATAGGTATTGTTTTCTTATCCATTCAGCTACCCTACATCTTTTGATTGAAGCATTTAACCCATTTATATTTAAAGTGATTACTGATAGGTATATATTTATTGCCATTATTCATATTTGTGTTCTTTTTTTAAATTTTTTTTCCTTTATTTATTTTAGAGAGAGAGAAATATCGATGAGAGAGAACCTCGATTGGCCACCTCCTACATGCTACCCACTGGGGATCTGGCCCACAACCTGGGCATGTGCCCTGACCGGGAATCGAACCAGCAACCTCTTGGTGCATGGGTCGATGCTCCAGCACTGAGCCACACTGGCCACTGTCCTTTTTTTAATTTCTCCTTCTTAAAGAAGTCCCTTTAACATTTCTTACAATATTGGTTTAGTGATGATGAACTCCTTTAGCTTTTCCTTGTCTAGGAAGCTCTTTATATCTCCTTCAATTTTATATGAGAGTCTTGTTGGGTAGAGTAATCTTGGTTGCAGCTCCTTGCTTTTCATCACTTTGAATATTTTATGACAATTCTTTCTGGCGTGAAAAGTTTCTGCTGAAAAATCTTAATGGGAGCTTCTTTGTACTGTAACCTTTTTTCTCTTGCTGCTTTTAAGATTCTCTCTTTATCTTTAACCTTTGCCATTTTAATTATGATGTGTCTTGGTGTGGGTCTCTCTGAGTTTACGTTGTTTGAAAATCTCTCCACTTCCTGGACTTGTGAATTGATTTCCTTTGTTGAGTTAAGGAAGTTTTCAGTCATTATTTCTTCAAATATTTCTTCTCAATCCCTTTTTCTTGTTCCTTCTCCTTCTGGTATCCCCAAGTTGAGGATGTTGTTATACCTCAGAGGTCCCTTAAAGTATCCTCGTCTTTTTAATTCTTTTTCTTTTTGCTGATCTGATTCTTTTTTCTGTTACCTGTCTTCCAAATCCGATTCAATCTTCTGCTTCATTTTAATGGGCTATGGACTCCTTCATTTCAGTTACTGTATTCTTCACATCTGACTAGTTCTTTTTATGGATTCTATGTCCTTTATCATGCTTACTATCTCATTGTTGATATTCTCACTGAGTTCATCTATTATTCCACTAAGTTCCTTGAGCACCCTTTAACCATTATTTTGAACTCTGTGTCTAGTAGATTGCTTGCCTCCATTCATTTAGTTCTTTCTCTGGAGGTTTCTCTTATTGTTTCATTTTAGACATGTCTCTTTGTCTCCCTATTTTGGCTGTCTGTTTATTCTGTGTATTAGGTAGATATGCTATGTCTCTCAGTCTTGGTAGAGTGGTCTTATGTCATAGGTGTCTTGTGGAGCTCAGTGGTACAGTCTCCCTGATCACTCGAGCTAAGTGCTCCAGGAGTGTCCACTGTTTGGGTTATATAGCCTTAATTGTTGTTGTTGTTCATCCTCACCCAATGATATTTTTCCACTGATTTCTTTTCAGATAGAGTGAGGGAGGGGGAGAGAAACATCGATGTAAAAGA